ATTAAGCTATTTAGAACCAGCTAAATCACAGTAGAAAATTAATACAGCTCATCAAACATAACAATTCTTCATGATTTTCACCATTTTGATGCAAATTCATGCAATTTTATGCATTAATAATCACAGTCTGTACACGTGACGTCATCAGTTTCCAATCCCGGTCCCCGGCCCGGCCCGGTTACGTAGTCTATAATAATATCTATGGTTACATTCGCGGCTGCTAATATTCGCGGTGATAAAAACTAATAAAGAAGTTCAATTAAATACCATGGAAACAAATTGATTGTTGCTATGACAATTGACCACGTGTTTATACAATTACAGTGTTCAGCAGCTAATTAGCTATTCTTGAGCAGTTTGAGTAGAGCCATCCAGACTCCAGTTCTGTATCTGTTATCTTCTTGTATAGATGGACCGCTACCTTCGAGTTCTTCACTACAAAATCACTGCTGGTCGGTCGGTCATGATTATAAACCTCACCCAAGTTAATAAAACACTAACTAGAATAGGTGGAGAGTCCCAAGACACGGCGAGGCAGAGTGAGTAGAGTATTTCTGAAAAGAACTGGCTAAAGCAGCTTCAAAGAGTCCAAGGATTAGTAACAGCAAGAAGAATAACAACTCGAGAACACTGCAATCGGGTGCTGTGCTTCAATAACGCGCGGTTTTCAATTAAAATAGCATCTAGTTGCTATGACAATTGCTAGCCGCGGGAAAAAATCGCGAATATAACCCGACCTACGGTATATTCTGCTCCTTCGATTGTTACTGAACTACTCTATTGGAACACTGCGGAAATAGCTTCTATTGACCTTTTCTACATCATTAAATCCAGCTAATGAGTTATCATTTGTGTGGTTAATGATACATCGCACAGAATCAGCCTATTAACCTCCCAGAAATCGGTTGTTCATTGTATCAAGCAGTTCTGATTTGTCAATTTCATGATAAAAAGTAACTCACACGACACACACTCTGATTACAAATATAATAAGAAGAAACATATTGCAATAAATATATAAGAAAATATTTTTCTTTTCGAGTAAATTTGGTATTATTTAAAAACTGTAAAAAAAGGGAAAGATGCAGTTGTAAAGTTGCAAACAGTACAAATAATGACAGGTAAGGGTTGAAAAAGCATGATATGATAAAACCAGCAATAAATTGAGAAACAGCAAAAGGCATTCTACAGGTAGCAAAATAAAAACAAAAGAAGCTAATAAGACAGTAAGCATTTTCAAAAGTACTTGAAGCTTTGTAAAAATCCAAATTGTATGCAAAAATTTTAATAAATGTAATAATATAAGGATAGATTTTTTGATATCTTTGATCAAATGAGTGATACTGCTTGTATGCAGCTGATATATTTGCTAGTAGTGTAAATAAACGAAAAGGAAAACTATATCTGAAAGATAGATTCATAGTGCTAATAATAAAGAGCACAACAGAGCTAACTATATCAGTAACCTTTTCTGACAATATTTCTGACACATACAGCAACAACAGGAGTGAGGATATTACCAACGAAACGATGGATAAATTTCCATTCACCATCATGGAACAAATGATGCCCAAAATAAAAAAAGCAACAAAAGTTTGATTTTTCCAGATTCTGAGAATAGTCAATTGCATGATGCCTGGTACTACTGTAACAAAAAGCAGATGAACAAAACCCTATAAAGCAATGAAATTACCTTCATTGTCTTTTTCTTTATCCAGAACTCTTGCATTCAGCTTTTCTTCTAACAAATAATCATTATTATTTATACTTCCATTAAGAATTGAAGTACCTGCTTTAGATTGTTCTTGTATCTTCATTTGTTTTTCTATTAAGCATATAGTAAAAATTGGTAACTTTCATGACAGTGTATACCTTTTGAACAGCTAGATTCATACATGTCTTCTGAATCATCCTTTTCATCTACACTTATCAACTCTGAGATTTTGTCTAATTACGAAATAAATTAAAAAAAAACAGATCTTCTACTACACTTACCTTCTGTGTCAGATACCAATTTCAAAAATAACTGAGCAACTCCCTTGTTCTCTGGCAGTAAAGATAACATTATTGGACTATCTCCATTGCTATCTTCATAGTATGGATCAGCTCCCAATGACAGCAGCAATGACACTTCAAAAATATCACCTAACTTGACTGCTTCTAACAGCGATTCATCAAAGTTGACATTATTTTTATTGTCAAGAATTGCATCATCATCAACTGAAATGTAAAACACACCAACTCGATGCATTGATTCAGACTTTGACTTGACAGCATTGATGATGTCAGCAATGGCAGAACGTGGCACCAGATAACTAATGCATATGCACCCTGAATTAATGTAAACATGATTAAATATATCACATCGAGAGAAATAATGTTTTAGTAAAGACTCAAATTCCTTGAATGGCTCCTCATCCCATACTTCATTTAGTTTGATGTCAATTTTGCAGGCAGTATCTGAGGAAAAGCTACTTTGGTATGTCGCTTCAATATTAGATCGAAGTACTTTTAGACTATATGACTTAAAGTGTTTCAGCTTTTTAATATATGCTTCCATTTCTCTTATAATGTAATTATCAGAAGTAGAGTGAGACGTAAACCAACGAGTAATACACTTCTCCATACATGATGATTTCTTTAAATATTCATTAACGATGCCTTTTATCAATAAGCAATTATGGTAAGAATAATGAATTTTAGTGCGAGTAAATAGTGGATCGATGGACACTTCATCTGTGAGTCTAATATCTTCTACTATCATATGTTCCATGAATCTTGCAATTTCTTTGATTTCCAGCTCTTGATGTGTAACTTTTTTTGCTAGATGTCCACGAATATCAGCAACAAGATGTGCAAACTTGTATTTTAATTCACAAAATTCTTCGTAAACATCATCAGCCTCAACAGTAGGTAGATCATTTTCCTTTCTTTTTTCAGATGACCCTGTATTGAAATGTATTAATGAAACATAATCATACATGACTGTCTGCTATACCTTCTGATATGATATTTTCCATAATTTTATCAGCTACTGCTCTTAGTCCCATATTTTTAACAGCAATGGCCAATTTCTCTAGTTTAGGTCTACCATGCGTATCAACATCATAATCCTGTTGGAGCCAGATTGTTAGACATCCTCTAAGACATGCTTTTGCATTAAAAGGATTGTCAGCTTGAACTGTATCAAGCTTTGCTTGACTGATGTTTAGCTTAAGACCTAATTCAGCCCATCTGTGCTCTGGAAAATCATTCTTTTCCAATGTAGTAATAACTTGAACAAGATCATTAATACCTGTTCATATAAACTAATAACACACACAACAAAGTAACAACTGAGATACAAACCTAAGATCTTGCCTGGATCCATTATTTGTGGGTAGTGACTATTGGTATGTCATGAATATCATTATTATTTACAATGTATATTCAGCAAAAAATAATAATAATAAACATCAATCAAACATGCACTGATAAGATAGGCATATTGCATTATATAGTATTTTTGTGTTTTCCTCAGGAAATAGATTAGTTATACAACAACTTGTGAAAGTATGTTTGGAGTGTGGACTATCACATTTCAAGAAGAAAGCACACTGCTGCTGCAATCTCATACATACACGTTTTTAATAAAAACTTTGCTAGATAGGATTAATTATGAGAGAGATAGTCCTCAGTAGACTACATTTTGCTGCATAGTTAAAAATTTAACTCGATTGTGTTCTTTATGTCTATTGTCATTGCAGGAGTCAATTTTGATGGAGCATGTCAGTGTATTGATTAATAAGTGTACTAGAGGAGGAGGAGGAGGAGAGAAAGAGGGAGCTATACAGCAATCAGCTCTTCTTTGCTTAAGACAAATAATAAACAGGATAGGGACTAGCCACTCACATAAATTCATATCAGTAAGCAATTTATGTTTTTCTCCTGCCCTTTTCTAAAAATAAACATCATAAACTTAAAAAGTTTCATTGTGTTGTATTAAATCATATTCTATAGGTGACTAGATCACTATTGGATGCAATTGGAACTAAGACAGGCCCAGTACTACACTCCTCTGCTACTTCTAATGCTTTACTCTGTATATCAGAATCATGTGCTAGCCTTACAGTGCGCCTCATACCACTGCTACCTACCATACTATCCACTGCACTCAAATACATTGAACAGAGGTATGTTGTATGCATCAGATTTAATAGTAATAATTAGTAATTTAGTATAATACTTTATGTGTTAATTTATACAAATCACTTATTTATTTTAGTGTATTTTGGGATTATTGTATTTAATTTTGCTTAACACTTTTTCTGTCTCTCCTATAGTGATAAATCTAGTGGTCTTGTCTTGAGTTCTCTTATACTGATAAGAACTGTTATTCAAACCTTGCCAAGATTCATTAGCTCTTTTGTCCCATCCATCATCAAAAAGGTACTTATTATTGCTGTACATATACATGTACTTACACAGTAGCATTTTATTATATTGAAGTTGTTATTATTTATTATTTTTTGTTTTTATTATTAGATATGTAGCAGTGATTTTCTTGAGGTTGCTGGTAAGGAAGATTTATTAACTGAAGCTACTTTAGTGAGGTATACCTTCAATTTATCTTCAATATAATTGTATTGATATATCATTATATTAATTATATTCAATAATAATTATACCATATAGTGCTTTAATTTGGCGGAGTTTTATTTTGGCGATTGGCGGTTTACAAGCAGAATTGCCAAAATTAAAACCGCCAATCATTAATGCACATGCTCAGTAATGCACGTGTACACAAAAACTGCCAATTACAATTTTACAGCAAAATCGCCAAAATAAAGCACCGTCAAAATAAAGTGCTATATGGTATTATATTGTTCCCTTGCTTCTCTTCACTACTTCAATGCATCATAAAAATCTCCATTTATCTTACTATTTTTTTTAGTTTATAGCCTTAAATGTGCATGCACATGTATGTACTTGTGTATATTTCATACAGGGAGTCTTTGCCTGTTGGAGTTCCTTCCAGTGTATTGTTATCAGCCATAACTGAAGCCTTACCTCTTGTCATGAAAGATGGGAAAGTAAGTTCTTCAATACACTAATACTGTATTAACTATGTTATATAATGCTTGGTGTTATATGCAATGAATGTAGGATTATTAATAATTTATTTGTAAATGCAAGTGATTTGGCCTTCAAACTAGTAATCATTATTTTATTATCATTTGTTTTAGTCGAGTGTTATTGCATTGGTGAATATATTGAGGACTTGTATCGGGTCATTAACTAAGAAGGTTGATGTGAATCAGCCAGTACTGATTGATATATTCACAGCTTTACTGGAGTATAGGTCTAACTATGAACATGTAAGTGAGAGAGAAAGGGAGAGAGTGGAGTACACTGTACATGGACAATTGTAAATGTTCTTTGTTGTGTATCTGTGTGGAAAGCTTAATCAAAAATGCAGAATTTTTGAACCACATAATTGTACATGTACATGTACATGTAGCTAGCTATACAATATTTATTGATTTACTTATTTATTTATTTATTTGTTTGTTTATTTGTTTATTTTTAGGAGACAGAGTCTGATGTGAGTGAGGTTGAGACTGAAGTCAATCAGTCCTTCACTGATCTTGTTGTTAAATTATCTGAAGCATCTTTCAAACCAACACTCAATAAAGTAAAGTTACTTAGTCATTAATGTACATGTATCATTAAACAGCACAAATTTTCACTCCACTATCAGTTTCATTGATAAGTACTAGGGTTTTCACTTCTTGTCAAAAAATTTCCAGGAGAGATTTATTTTTATTATTTTTTTCTGTAGTTGCTGGTCTGGGCTGACTCCGGGGATAAGATCCTTACCTTTTATCATTTAATAAGAGAGTAAGGATACTGATAATTATAGCAATAAAAATCCATTAAATTACTTATTACATTTAAAGCATTCATAAAATACCATTTTTATTGTTATTAGTATTATTATTATTATTTTCTCATTTTCAGTGTTGCGAAGAAGTTAAAGGTCCTTTTTCTGTTGTTTGCTGACCAGTTGGTGGATAGTATAGTATCACTACTATCATCATGTCATCTTGTTAATAATAAAGGTGACAGAATAGTACACATTTACTCTAATACAAGTTCACCCTCTTTATGTCACCTTCTTTCACCCTTACTCTCTCCTCTTCCTCTTTGTTCCTTTTTGTACTTATACATGTACGTGCATTTTTTTCATTTTTAAAGTACCAATAGTCACTGTAACTCTTTATTCAATTCATTCACTTTGTCTATCTTCCACCCTTAATTTTTCTTTACTTTCTTTCTCCCTCTCTCCCTCTCTCTCTCTCTCTCTCTCTAGGCTTGCTTCCATTCAGTGATTCATCCTATGCCTCTAGTATCATTAAAACTAACCTTTGTCTTCAATTCCTCTTTGATACACTCCAGATATGCTTCCTTCATGATAAAGGATCATTCCTAAACAAAGAGCGGTCCCAGCAACTAATGGAACCACTTGTTGAACAGGTAATTACTCGTAATCACTATTGTAATAATTGTATCATTCATTTACAAGCACTACAATACAATACATGGCATTTGGAGTGCCTTTAAAAATTCATAAAAAATCCAAAGTTGATCGGAATCAACTCAAACTTGCTACACAACATAAGAACATGTATATGTATCAGTAAAAGTTATAAAAATTGAGAATTCTCACCTAGCCATTTTTGACAAAAATTGGCAAAGAACCCTGTACTATAGTACAGGGACTTTGGCTTGATTTTGGAGCAAATTAAAAAATTCATAAAAATCCAAAGTTGATCGGAATCAACTCAAACTTGCTACACAACATAAGAACATGTATATGTATCAGTAAAAGTTATAAAAATTGAGAATTCTCTCCTAGCCATTTTTGACAAAAATTGGCTAAGAACCCTGTACTATACTATAGTACAGGGACTTTGGCTTGATTTTGGAGCAAATTTAAAAATTCATAAAAATCCAAACTTGATCGGAATCAACTCAAACTTGCTACACAACATAAGAACATGTATATGTATCAGAAAAAGTTATAAAAATTGAGAATTCTCTCCTAGCCATTTTTGACAAAAATTGGCAAAGAACTCTGTACTATATAGTACAGGGACTTTAGCCCCATTTTGGAGCAACTTTAAGTATTCATAAAAAATCCAAACTTGATCGGAATCAGTTCAAACTTTGTGCACACCATAAGTACATGTATATGTATCAAATGAAATTATAAAAATGGAGGATTCTCTCCTTGTGATTTTTGTCAAAATACTCTGTACTATAATACATGAGTCTTACTTGGCATGAGCACTATGCCAATTGCTAATGCTATGCATACTATTAACTGTTATAGTACAATAATAACAAGAGTAAATAATACCTAAAGAGAGGCCTGCTGCAAGTGTGTGGATTTCTAGGAAGTCACGTTCCGCATACTTCAGTAGTTTTATACAGACGCGTTGTTATAACAACATTTATCATTGATAATATACAGAAGTATACTGAATGTGACTTCCTAGAAATCCACACACTTGCAGCAGCCGAGATGGGGCTGTTGGACACTATCTTTAGGTATTATTTACTCTTGATGATAATAATAATTATTATCCTCTTCCTATAGATTACTAATACGTTAAGTTCTGAAGATAATGAGTTGTACTTGACTTTAATGAGGTCTCATTTGAGTCCTTGCATTGCTCAGTTGGCAGTGGCTGCCTCCAGTGGAGAGACTCAATGGAAGAAACTGAACCAACAGCTCCTAATGAAAACAAGAGAGAGCAAGCCAATGGTCAGTGAGATATGAATAGTATACACCACCAATATAATAAATATTCATTAACTCCTTTAATGCACTTTTTATAATTTTTATTTTATTTTTCTCTATTTTATTTTATTGTATTTTTCTACACATGTACATGTATTTTATTTTAATTTTTTCTATTTTATTTTATTATTATTTTATTATTCTTATTGTTATTATTATAGGTGAGGCTGTGTGCCCTACAGATTGCTGGCTCAATGTATTCTAAATTGGGATCAGAAGTGAATGTTATTCTACCTGAAATAATACCATTCCTCTCTGAACTGATGGAAGGTAATTAATAGTAAATTAATAATTATTATTTTAGTAATATTAGTAATCATAATCGTGATTATGTAACTTTCTATGTCTCTAGCTGTTTTCTTTTTTTATTTATTTATCTTGTTTTATTCCTTTCTTTTATACAATGTTTCATTTTTTTCTATTGTAGATGAGTGTGAAGATGTTGAAAGGGAAGTTCAAGAGACGATCAAGTCAATAGAGGCAGTGACTGGGGAATCAGTTCAACAATATCTTTGATAATAATAATAATAATAATAATGAAATTTCCTTTTGTAAATATTAAAATGATAAAGTTTTAAAATCTTATAAGGCTAAAAAATCAACTTCGTAGTGATATTATCTACTCTTGGTGTTACAAAGCTCAACAAATTTAACTATTCATAAGTAGCCACACCTCTCATGTTAAATGAAAATGGCGTCTAAAAATGATCCTAAAGTTGACGAACTCGAGGCTGGTCCTGAAGTAGCTGCGGCTGCCAGTTCTTATGAATTGAAATGTCCCATTTGTCTGGAGGACTATGACAATAAGGCATTCGTTAATGTCTGCTTTCGTATCCTAAAAGTTAAAACACAACCTGTCTATGTCCTTTACATTTACATTGAATGATTAACAAAATTATCAAAAGTTGTATATACATGTGTAGTACAAAATTAGAAGTGAACAACTGTAAATGATTTAATAATTCAATTTTTCTTAACTTATTATCATTATTATTGTTCATAGATGCTTTCTGTTATGTGTGTATAGTCCAGTGGTCTGAGGTCAGTAACAAGTGTCCAATGTGCAAGGTCTCGTTCAAGAGTCTCATTTATGATGTAAAGACAGAGTCCAATTACAAAACTGTAAGAGTTTACACTTTGCACACGTACATGTACATACTGTGTACTGTAAATAGAGTGATTGTGCATGCATTTATTTTGCATTTGATTTATAAGTTTTTATAATATTTTGCAATTTTTTTTTGCAAATTTTGATAGATTTTTGGTGAATTGTGATGAATTAATTTTTTCAAATTTTTGCTTTTTCTCTCTCTTTTTCTCTAGCATATCATTAGTTCTTCATCAAGGAGACAGGATTCAAGAGAAGTGAGCATCAATGAAGCTCGTAGGTTAGTAATATCAACATTACATGTATGACCAATGAAAGTTTTACAGCAAACTTACATGTATTTCTGCAATTTGTGAATGCAACAGTATAATACAAAATTTAAAGTGACCAATTCATTCAGTACATTGACTGTAAATTTATTTAAAAATTTTCTCCTCAAATTTTTATGCTCAAAGATAAAATTTTCTTGTATTCCTACACACACTCCCCCCCTCTCTCTCCCTCTCCCTTCATTAGGTTCAGGTACAGGACTACAGTGTTACCTGGTGAGAGACAACCTCTTGAGTCACAGAGACACCGACTCCAACAATCACGCAAACCAGCAACCGAAGAAAGAAGAAGGTACAAATGTACATGTACACATGACATACATGTACATGTATTATAAATAAATGCTTATGTGTTTATGCCTACAATGTAATTTATAATAAGTACAAATGTACATGTATATGTATGTAATAGCCTAATAGGGTATAGTATAATGACATTGTAGATACAATTTAAAGTAGAATTTCTGTTATGAGATTGAAATTTTATTTTGGATTCTTATGAAGTAGGTATTCAGTTGTTTAGAATCCTACTTGCCCTTGTTTCCATTACTTTTTTGACCTATGTATAAGCACAGAGTGAATCCTAATACTTAATCTTTTTTAATTGTTTTTTGTGCTTTCATTATTAGGACAGTGTATCAGGCTGGAATGAGGGCCTTACCATTCACTACTGAAGGAAAGAAAGTTCGAATTAGAAATATATGTGAGGATAATAGTGATACTAGTCATGACTATAATCTTATCTTGTGTACGTTTCCCACAAAGCATGCTAAGTGAGCTAAACAGCATGAGCTTCATGAGCTGACAAGCACTACAATACAGTACATGACATTTGGAGCAACTTTTAGAATTCATAAAAAATCCAAACTTGATCTGAATCAACTCAAACTTGCTACACAACATAAGAACATGTATATGTATCAGAAAAAGTTATTAAAATTGAGAATTCTCTCCGAGCCATTTTTGGCGAAATTTAACCAATCACACTGTACTATAGTACAGGGACTTTAGCCCTATTTTTGAGCAACTTTAAAAATTCATAAAAAATCCAAACTTGACCGGAATCAACTCAAACTTGCTACACAACATAGGATCATGTATATGTATCAGAAAAAGTTATAAAAATTGAGAATTCTCTCCTAGTCATTTTTGGTGAAATTTGGCCAGTCACACTGTACTATAGTACAGGGACTTTAGCCCGATTTTGGAGCAACTTTAAATATTCATAAAAAATCCAAGCTTAATCGGAATCAACTCAAACTTGCTACACAACATAGGAACTTGCATATCTATCAGAAAAAAATATAAAAATGGCAAAATCTCTTCTTGTCATTTTTGTCAAAATACCCTGTACTATCTATATACCATATACTGGGATATTTTTGCGTCGCTAAATTTTCGCGAATTTTGCATTTGTAAGATTTCACGAAATAATATTTTCGCAAATAGCCTGTAAACTCCACCACGTGCCAATGGAAATTTAGAAATTCGCGATTTTTATTTTCGCGACGGAGCAAAAAACGCGAAATTCGCGAAAATTTGGCTACTCGAAAATTTCCCAGTATACGGTACAGTACAGGACTTTTGACCTAATTTTTGCAAGCTGCATGAGAATACAGGCATGCCAAAATCTTGTAAAAAAACCAGGTGCACATACATACACTGATATTATACAGAGTATAAATGTACGGTGTACATGTAAATTTAAATGTGTACATGTACATGTACATGTAATTTTAATATTATTACTGAAGCATAAACCACTTACATGTACATGCATGCATTACAACTAATTCTTTGTAATTATTTGTATGTTTTTATTTTTAGCTGCCTCTTTCTTTAAATCTAATCCAGCTGCAGTTCATCGTCTGTTGCCATGGCTATCACGTGACATCAAAGCGACGCTAGGAGAGGAACACGTGGAGTTTATGATCCAACTGATACTCTCAATAATTGACAAGTAAACTATGATTATTATGTACATGTACTACATGTACATGTACATGTACATGTGTATATGCAGACAAGGAGTAACAGTAGTCAGTTATATGGTACTAGTGTAGTAATTGAAAGCAGTTATTATATAAATGTATTTCTGGTAAATGGTGGTATCATGGTTCTTCAAAAATTGGCCAAATTCCTGTACTGGGTATCTTTCTGAAAATGGCAGAGAGAGAATTCTCAATTTTTATTACATTTTCTACTCTCTGATACATTTACATGTTCGTGTGTAGTGTAGACATTTTGAGCTACAATTCTGATCAAAACTGGATTTTTATGAATTTTTAAAATTGCTCACGTACACTTGCATGTAAATGGTACACGTGCATGTACAGTGTCACTAAATGTATATTAGCATATCTGACTATATTCAGTTAATATGGCAATCACTAGATGCAACAAGAGTCGTACATGTACATCTCATGTGCCAGTAGATACCAGTAGCAGTAACCGTTATTATTGATAACGGAAAACTGTTTATAATACACTTGCTGCTGTTGTTCTTTGTATATTATACACTTGTCACATGCATTTTGCACACATGTTGTGTAGTATGTACATGTACAAATGTAGATATATGCACCCCATTATGATAACAGTTTTTGTACATGTACATGTACATGTATGCATGTGTTATCAGCGCACATTTAATTGAAACTACACTGCTTTAAAATTAGTCCGAATCAGCTATTTTACGTCGTTATTTGTCCATATGCAGCGTTATTATGTACATCAATCATATCTTTATTAATGACAGGTCTATCATAAGCAGTATTAGCCTGTAGTTCCATTGGTGTATCATATATTGGTACTGTAGCTGCCTTAACAATTATCTCATCGTATGTAGGAGTAGCTGCATCAATGCTGTATGAGTTTCATAAAATATAATAAATAATAATAATAATAATAATAATAATAATAATGAAGAACTTGCTTTTTAGGTACTTCATTGTCTTTACCTGTATATAGCATTATAGCAATAATAAAAATGAGCATAGCATTAACATAACATACTTCTTTGTTTCTTGCATTTCAGTACTATTAGTGTTGATATTATAATAATAATAATAATTATGATTATAATTAATATTATTCCTCCAGTAGCTGTTGATATAACAGGAACAATATTCAAATGGCTACTGGGTTTGATTGGAATTACTATTAATATTAATAAATCTATGTAATTGAATTCGGTTCATGTACCAGTAATAGTGGGCTCATTAGTAGTTGATGAATGAGTTGATATAGGTGACATTGTGTATGACGAGTCGGTACTGGAAGTTTTTGTAACCATAACTACTGTACTTAGCAATGTATTTAATTATTTCTAAATTATTTATTGTCTCTTACTTGAAGTTGATGATATTTGCATTATAACTGTACCAGTAATAGTAATTGTAGCTGATGGTCCATATCCAATGATATTAACAGGTATAATAGCAACGGTGTAGTTTGTATCAGTAAGAGATATTCCAGTGATAGTAGTATTAGTATTAGTTGTATTATTATTGTATATAATACTGTTTGATGTATTGTATACACTAATAATGTAATACTGAGTAGGAGGAACTGGTATAATAGTATAGTCCTAAATATCATCATTTTATTTAATTTAATATACTAATTAACATACTTGAGTGTTACTCCACCATATTGTCATGCTATCAGTTGATATCTGATCCCAACTAATATTAACAACTTGAGCTGGTACTATAAGAAATACAATGAGTGTGAGTGTGTGTGTGTGTGTGTGTGTGTGTGTGTGTGTGTGTGTGTGTGTGTGTGTGTGTGTGTGTGTGTGTGTGTGTGTGTGTGTGTGTGTGTGTGTGTGTGTAGTACTTACCATTCCATATATACTGTATTAATGATGAAGGAGGTCCTTCACTTCCACACATATCAACAGGAATAATAATAAATGAATAATTAGTACCAATAATAAGAGGATTGATAGTTTTATTAGTATCGTTAGTAGTAAGAGACTCAGTATTTCTGTTGTTACTAATAATAGTAACATTATAATGATCTACATGCTCTTGTACTATCCAATTAATAAATATTGTACTATTATTAATTGGATCAATTGTTATATTATTGACTGATAATGGTGGACCTGAAAAATGAATTTTTAATTCTCAAATTTATAAATGACACTTCTAACCTGAAACATTGATACGCAAGCTAACAAGCATAAGATCAGCTCCTGCACAACTAAGAATAGTACCATCCACTGGTTCGTCAGTAGTAGCAATACTACTCATTATATTGCCACTCATAGTTGCTTCAACTTTAGTAACATTAAATGTGTAGCTACCTTGTAAATGAATTCTACTCTCATTTGTCAATTGAGCTGCTCCGCCATCATTAATCCTCAAGAATACGGTAGCAATCTCAGTACCAGCATTAGTTATGCACTCTAGTTCAACTCTATCACCAGGACATGGTACTATACCAGGATTAGGAACTTTTTGTTGAAAGAGCACTACAGCTGATATACAGTCAGCATGTTAAATGAGTTATAGCTTTGTACAGGAGCCCATGGGCTCTTGTTTTACATTAATAGACTCACTAGATAGAGCAAGACTCATGCATCCAGTCAGTACAAGAGACCAGTAGATACCAGTAACAGTAGCCATTAGTATCAGTAAGAGAGATAAGTTTACACTGTTACAATATACGTAACATATGTACATGTATAAGCAATCAACTGTTTATGATGTTATTATTTTACAACCACTCACTGCCACACCTGTAATAACTGTTATTATTGTTATTATTGTTATACAATGTATGTACATGTAGGTGTACATTCATTAGAACAAGCGCAAAATTAAACCATGGATTGCATACAAATTTGAAATACATGTATGTACTGTACTTACTGAATGTATGGACAATAATTGTAACATCACATTAGTAGTAGGATATAATAAGTTGCTTCAAAATCTGACAAAAGTCCCTGTACGGTAGTGCAGGAACTTAGGCAAAATTTCATGAAAGATGAAAAGGAGAGAAATCTACATTTTTATTACATTTTCTGATACGTATACATGTACTTATGTTGTGTAGAAAGTTTGAACTGATTCCAATTAAAATGTATTTTAAATAGTAATATCGAAAAATTTCCAGTATTAGTAATTGCAATACTCAGGTTGCAGTAATACAATATGATCCGTTTCTTATTTTATTATATTGCATTTTTACTCTTATTCTCCCTTTCCTTTTCTCTCCACTCCCTCTCTCTAACTATGGCACCATGAATATGTTTGAAACAGTTGATAAAACAGATAGGCACCTGTTATCAGGAGTTCATGAAATTTGTAAACCCCTTGTTTAAACATTAAACATCTGTTTATCTTATGAGGAGTTTATGGAATTTGTAAAGACCTTGTTTAAGAGATGTTTATCTCCAGGAGATGTCCATGCATGTACATGTAGCAATGTATCCAATACGCCTGTAAGTAACGCAGCTTTCCAATTACAATACTTCAGTAAAAAATTCTAAATCCATTTATCATTTTTTATTTCATACAACTTAAACATATCTTTTCCCCACCCTCCCTCTCTCTCTCTCTCTTCCAGGATCAATATCGATAGTGATGAATTCATAGAGCACTTAAGACCGTTCTTCCACCACAGGACGGAACACTTTGTCCACGAGTTTATAAGCTTTGCCAAGTCTCCATTAGACATGATGGCATACGATCATAAAGTCAGCTATGGACTTCCATCGTCAGTTCATGGAGCTAAGAGAACAGGCACCAGCTCTGATGGCGGAGATGTGAATGAAAGAGGAGAATCATCACAAGGTATGTATTACAAGGCATAACATATAGCGCAAAATTTTCGAGGGCTCTAAATTTCGTGGATTTTGCAATTTTTTGAAGATTGGTGAAAATTACAATGTACTTCTGCAAAAATTAAATTATTAGGGCACAGGATGGCAGATGGTATAAATTCGCAAAAATCAAATATGACTGTACATGTTACCTAATGTTAGTGTCTTTTATAAATTTTTTAATAGGTGTTTTATGTTTAATATTTTATTCTGTCTCCCCCTCCACACACACACACACACACGCACACGCACACACACACACACACACACACACACACACACACACACGCACACGCACACACACACACACACACACGCACACACACACACACGCACACGCACACACACACACACATATACACTCACTGTATCTACATGCAGCTGGTCCATCTAGTACTGCTCCAGAAGGAGAAACAGCTCCAGCTTCTGTTGAAGAAGGAAGAGACAAAGGAGAAGGAGAAGGGGAAGGAGCTCAAAGTGAAGATGAAATGCATAAGAGGATATTATACGAACTAGCTACCTCAACTTGGGACGAGAGTCCAATAATAACTCGTAAACCGGACACGCCCCCTTCAAACAGGGCTCAGGACTCGGACCAAGACTTTATCATTATTAGTACCAGTCCCAGTGTATCCGATATTGAAGGACTAGTACCAAGAGACGAGGGGGTACAGGATAATAGAGTCACATGTAGCACTGGTAGAGATAGAGGGGAAAAACAGGATGAGGGTGAGTCTGAAGGTAGTAGAGTCTGTGAAAAAAGAAGGAAGTCTTCTAAGAGTTCGAAAACTAAAAGTCGTAAACACAAAAAAAGTTATTTATCGGACTCTGGATCTTGTTCAGAGGAGAGAGAGGAAAGGAGGAGGAGGAAGAGGAGGAGTAGATCAAGAGAGAGAACCAACTCTCCGTCCCTCACTCCTGAATATTATTACAAAGATTCTAAAAGGACTTACGACAAGAAAAGGAAGCATCGTTCGTCTACTCACCACAAGCAGAGGAAATCAGATCGGAGCTCACGTGATGAGTCATGTGATCACAGGAGTCATTCACGTTACCATGGTTACTCGTCACGTGATCGTAGCCAATCGTCACACGGTCAAGAAAGAAAGAGATATCATAAAAGACACGCCAAGAGAGGAAAGAGATCACATGAGAAAGAAAAACGGTCTCAGAAAAGATTGCGTGATCGATCGCATGACAAGAAGAAAGCCGACATGCTCAGTGGTGACTATTCAACCAGTGATGATGATTGTGATGTGTTAAGTGACGGCGAGATCAAACGCGAGCTGGAAGATATCAACAACGATCTTTTAAATATGAAGAAACGATTGCTCAAGCACTGTCTACACAGAGAAAGGGCTACTTTATTGAAATCGGCCCTGCAGAAGGAACTGGGTGGGATTGACACGCCCCTTGACACACCCACCAACGAAGACGAGGGTGGTTCTAGTAGCATTGATGAGTTAGAGGATGAGTTGATGAGGATTGAGAGAGATATAGAGATGAGTAGGAATGAAGTGGCTGCTGTTAATGAGAGACTAGAGAAAGACTGAGAAAAATGATAAATTGTAAAGTCTAAACTAGACTATGTTCTCATTCATTTGAACCTGTATTTTATTTTTAAAATTTAAAAAGAAATCATTTTTATGCTTTACCTAAATTACTTACATTGCAGCTTGTTGAATAATGAATATTATTTCATGATCACTTCAAATTAACAAGGAAGACTGCTGGGATGATAAGTAGATCAACTTAATTGAAGCTCTTAGTTGCTTTTCTACTAGTAACAAGTGTTGCTGTATGAAACTGTTGGCATTTTAGCTTTATGCAGATTTTTCTGCTCTGCTTTCCGTATATTCTAGACCTAATTCCGTATTCTTGTTCCTGGTATAAAGAGAAATTGCCAAATTGGTCCATCTAATATAAGTCGCCTTATCAGAAAGAGACATGATAAGTAGATCAACTTTAGTGAAGATTGTACTTGTTTTTCTAGTAGTGCAAGTGCTGCTTTATGAAATTGGTGCATTCTCAGCTTTATTTAAAAAGGTACCATGCCACAGTAGTCTAGACTATTTTTTACTTTAAATTAACTTAGCCGCGTAGTACAAACCGGGATATTGAATTCGAGAAGTCTAACTGGTACGACGACACTGAGGACACTGCTGGGACTGAGAACACTATAGCTAGCAAGGCTAACAACACTAGCTTCAGCAAAGTGAGTGACAGGGTAGATAAAGGTACTATAATGACATGAATCAGAATCATTGAAAATGGGAAGTGGGCCACACCGCGCCTAAAGCCCAACATATACACTACATTCAACATTTGCCTAGCCTTTGATCATGCTTTGATGTGGTCAAGCAACATGTTGCTTTGAATAGAAAACCTTTCTATTCCTTTGAACAAGGTTGAAAGAAAGATCAAAGGCTGCATGGCAACATGTTGCCTGTAGTGTATGCTGGGCTTAAATCTTGTAGTCTACACAGCCAAGAATTAGCATTTATGATACAAGACACTGCTCAAAATCAATGAATAGAGCCTGATTCCAGCATTGATACAGTCAGTCTAACAAGTATATATCGTTGCTGAATCATACATGTTGCTCTGGATGAACCAGTATGAATTCCAGCATGTCATTATCAATTCAAGGCTGTTAGATCAACCTAGGCTCATTGCAATTTTAACTGCTCAAAATCCATGATTTAGGATGCATTAGGCCGGATTCAGGGCTGATGTCATTGATGATTTATCATGTGTTTACTTTAACTTACTAGCCACAGAGTACAAACCAAGATTATGATTCCAAGAAGTCTAACTTGCATGAGACTACGAACACTGGTTGGACTAAGAACACTGGCATTAGCAAAGTGAGTTACCATGTACGATACTGAGTACCATGCATATTTGCCTGATTAGAAGCCCAGGCATTTATTCATTAACAGGGAAAAAATTTTGTAAAAATTAAAAAAATATGCCAAAGCAGGAATTGAACCCATATCTCCTAGGCTTTTGTCTTTCATCATTGTACCTCCATCGAATATTCCCATCCAGAATTAAACTTATTACATAGAATTTAAATCACGCACACATTTTAAAAAAGTATTATAAATTTCCAGATTGTACTTGATGTATCATAATGATAGCCTGGTCTTGTCTTATACAATGTAGGTTAAAACTCATAAAGTTGTTAGTTCTAGAGAATTTGATGACAAATTGTTGCATCCAAAGAAACAAACTGAACTATGGATCAGAATATCAGGAGCCTTTATAGTAAACCTTTATTTTTATTTTATAAAATAAAAACTGTGTAATAGGTGAGGAGAGTTGGGTATTTGGATTTAAGAGACAAAGGAAGTGTAAAGATTCATTTAATTGGAATGAAAGATAGAGCTACTGCAGATCCACACATTTACATGAGGCTGTACTATAAAGACACTAGTAAGAAGGGACCATCAAACTGTCAGACAACTGAGCTTGAAAATTATTCACAATCTGGAATGGATGACTTTGTA